GGACTCCAGGATCATGACCTGAGCCGAAGGCAGTTGCTTAACCAACTGAGCCACCCAGGCGCCCCACTACATGATTTTCTTATGCTTCCTTCTAGACAAGTTGTTGCATGGCACCGACCTTATTGTGTAGATCTTGAAGAGAGTACCTTCTCACACCTGCGTTCTTTTCTTGAGAGATACTGTGATAAAATAAACAGTGAGATTCCCCCACTCCCTTTCCCTTCATCAAGGTATGTTATATATATGTATATTGGTGTGTGTGTGTGTTATGTCTGTTAATTACTCATTTTGAGCTTGACTTTTCTTTTTTGTTCGTTTTCCCCTCAATTATATTAAACTTATTTAGAATCTAAAAAAGAGCTAAACTTGGGTACTTATTGATAATGACCTTTAGGAAAAGTTACCCATAATTTCATGAATCACGTTTTAAAAATCACTATTGGTCATAATTTGACAAAATTTTTAAAGAGAAAAAATGTTACCCAAACTGGATAGCACATGATCTTTTAATGTTCCAGAAGTTCACAGCACTTTGTTTGGTTTCAGGGAACACCACAATTTCCTCAAGCTGTGCCTGAAGCTGCTTTCAAATCACCTTGCTCTTGCACTTGCGGGAGGGGTAGCTACCAGCATTCTTGGGAGACAGGCAGGTCCACTTCGAAATTTGCTTTTCAGACTGATGGATTCAACTGTCCCAGATGAAATTCAAGAGGTAAGCATATAGGACTTGGAATCTGTATCTCAAGCCACATCTTTCCCTAAAGTTGTAGCTCATAAATTCAACCATATATTGGAAAACTTCAACTGGATGCTGTTTCCCTTACTCCTTTTCTTGGTGGAAGTAAATGTTTTTGATTAACTCATCCTTTAAGACAAAGGTCAAATGTCATCTTTGGGAAGCCTTTCATTCTCTGCTCTCCTGCCAGGCTAGGTTTCTCTTGTATGTGTTCTCATTGCATCACATTGTATTATAGTTGTCTGTTCACAAACATGTCTGTCTTTTCCACCAGAGGATAAATTTTGAGGACAGGGACCCAGTTTTATTTTTTATTATGGCAAAATACATATAATGTAAAATTTACTGTCTTAACCTTTTTTTTTTGGGTGGGGGGAGAGAGAGAATCTCAAGCAGGCTCCATTCCAAGCTTGGAGCCTAATGCGGAGTTCGATCTCATAATCCTGAGATCATGACCTGAGCCAAAATTAAGAGGTGGACGCTTAACTGATTTGAGCCACCCAGGTGCCCCATCTCAGCCATTTTTAAATATAGCTTAGTGGTATTAAATATATTCATAATATTCAGCCATCATCACTACCCATCTTCATAATTCTTTTCATCTTATAAAATTGAAATTCCATACCCACCCAACAGTAACTCCAGATTCTCCCCTTTCTCCAGCTTCTGGCAGCCACCATTCTACTTTCTGTCTCTTTGATTTTGACATTCTAAATATGTCATATAAGTAGAATCATAAACTGTTTGTCTTTTTGTGACTGGCTTATTTCACTTAGCATAATGTCCTCAGGGTTCATCCATGTTGTAGCATGTGTCAGAATTTCCTTCCTTTCTAAGGCTTAATAATAATCTGTTGTATGTATATGTCACATTTTGCTTATCCACTCATACATCATCTTTATGACTTTGGATTAGGCAGTAGTTTCTTAGATATGACACCAACAGCACAAGCAATCAAAAAAAAAGAGATAAATTGGACTTCATCAAAATGGAAAACATTTATGCCTCAAGGGGCATTATCAAGAAAATGAACATACAACTCATACATAGAATGGGAGGAATATTTGTAAATCATATGTCTGATAATATTCTAGTTTCCAGAGGCACCTGGGTGGCTCAGTTGGTTAAGTGTCTGCTTTCGGCTCAGGTCATGATCCCAGGGTCCTGGAATCAAGGCCCCCCCCACCCCTTTCCGGGGACTCCTGCTCAGCGGGGAGTCTGCTTCTTCCTCTGCCTCTGCCCCTCCCACCCTCGCTCATGCTTGCTCTTTCAAATAAATAGATAAAATCTCAAAAAGAAATATTCTAGTTTCCAGAATATATAAAGGATCTTTACAACTCAACAATAAAAAAGATAAATAACCCAACTTTATTTATTTTTAATAACCCAGCTTTAAAAATGAGCAAAGAATTTTGAATAGACATGTTTCCAGAGAAAATATGCGTATGGCCAAAAAGCACATGAAAAAATGCTCAACAGCCTTAGTCGTTAGGGAAATGCAAATCAAAATCATAATGAAACACTACTTCACACCCACTCAGTGGATATTATCAAAAAGACTGAGGATTGTGTTAGTGAGGATGTAGAGAAATTGGAACTCTTGTATATTGCTGGTGGTAATGTAAAATGGTACAGCTGCTTTGGAAAGCAGGTAGTTCCTTAAACATTGTTACCATATAATGTAGCATTTCCACATCTAGGTCTGTACCCAAGAGAATTTTCACTCAAAAACTCGTACAGGAATGTTCATAGCAATATTATTCATAATAACCAAAAAGCGGAATAAACAAATGTCTGTCAACTGATAAATGGATGAGCTAAATGTGGTATGTCTGTACCAGGATAATCTTATTCAGGAGTAAAAAGAAAGGAGATTTTGATAACATGCTACAACATGACTGAACCTTGTAAGCACTATGCTAAGTGAAAGAAGCCAGTCACAAAAGGGCACATATTATATGATTGTATGTATATGAAATGTACAGAGTAGGCAAATCTATAGAGAAAGAAAGTAAATCAATTGGTTGTTAGAGGTTGGGGGAGGGAGAGAGGGGAGTGACTGCTAATAGACACAGAATTTCTTTTTGAGGTGATGAAAATGTCCTAAAATTAGAATAGGGGTGATGGTTTCACAACTCTGTGAATATACTAAACCACTGAATTTTATACTTAGAAAAGGTGAATTTTATGTCATGTCAATTACATGTCAATTAAAAAAAAAAGCAAAAAGGATAACTCATTTTTCAACTGGAGAGACTTATCCCTAGCATGTGGGTAGAAGAAATATTAACCCGGTGGTGAATGGGAACTTTGATGTTTCAATATTTATCAGGAATTAAAGTGTAGTATTTTTAAAAGGTCAAAAAGTACTGGAATAAAATAAGGAAAGTAAATTTTAAAAATTATCTTTAGAAATTGTTTATTTATTCCTTGACTGTCCTTGGTAGTTACTCTATTAGGAGAGTCCTTGGGAGATGAATTCTCAGGATGTGTACAAAGCTGTTTCTGTTCCTTATCTCTGAAACTTCTAGTAACTAAATCTGTTTGTAGCACTCACTGTTGCTGTTCTTTTTTTGTTTCTTTTTAAATGCTTTATTTTGAGTCATTTGTAGACTTAAGGAAAAGTTGCATAAAAAATAGTTTTTTCACTCAGCTTTCCCAATGCTAATGTCATACATAACCATATTACAATTATCAAAACCAAGAAATTAACATTAGCTTCATACTATCATTACACTAAACAGCTTATTAGAAATTTGATCAGGGCGCCTGGGTGGCTCAGATGGTTAAGCGTCTGCCTTCGGCTCAGGTCATGATCCCAGCGTCCTGGGATCAAGTCCCGCATCGGGCTCC